CCATTCTACGATGAAATCTCTAAGTATTCCCAGTCAATTTTAGCAAATATTTCAAGCACTAAACAGTGAAAAAGGCATCCCAAATTTCGTTAAAATTGGGGACGCCAATTTCGTAGCTACAAATGTAAAAAAATACAAAACAAAGACGAAAAACATTTACCTTGAATACTTTGTCGTGGCTTAGGCATGTTTTTAAAACAATTAGACCAGTATATGCTTCAATATTACTCTTTTAAAGCGGAAAGTATAGCGAAACAACAAAAATGCCGAGAACTTTGCAATACGCGTGACGTCACAGATTGCAACTAGGTTGTTTTTGCTTACGTCAGCTAGAGTCCTATCCATTTATTTTATTATCCATGATGATACCACCAAGCTTTATCTAGCGTTTAAATCTGAAACAACACAATGTCAAGAAGACGCGATGGAAGCTATGGAGAAATGTATCAAAGCCGTAAGAGCATGGATGATAACCGATAAATTGAAGCTTAACGAAGGAAAAACAGAATTCATGATTATCGGGACTCGTCAACTGCTAAAGAAAGTCACAATTGACCAGTTATTGGTTGGCGATATGCGTGTTATTCCTGTTAGCAATGTAAAAGACCTTCGAGTATGGTTGGATTCTCATCTCAAGTTTGATGTACATATTACTAAAACGTGCAGCACCGCTTATTATTTTCTTCATAACATCAGAAGAATAAGGAAATATTTAACACATCATACCACTCAAATCTTGGTGCATGCTCTGGTGATTGGACGGATTGATTATTGCAGTTCTTTGTTCTATGATCTTCCAAAAACTCAGACCAAGAAATTGCAAAGAGTACAGAACATGGCCGCTAGACTTATTACTAATTCTTCACGCTATTATCATATCACTCCTATTCTGTATCGACTCCACTGGCTGCCCATAGAATATAGAATTAAATTTAAAATACTGCTGATAACATTTAAGGCTATCCATGACTTGGCACCGTGGATCTTATTAATGTGAAAAACTCGTCCGCCCACAACCTTAGATCAGACTGTTGTTTCCTACTAGCTCCACCAACATTCAACTCAAAGAAGCCAATAGGTCGCTGAAGTGGTTGTTTATAAGGTCGCTGAAGTGGTTGTTTTATAGGTCGCTGAAGTGGTTGTTTCTTTTGTTGAAAGTTCAGGTGTTGGTTGTTTGGTAGAAAGTGAAAATAATGTGGGTGTTTCTGTGATTATTTGATTAATTGTGACCGTGAAGGAATGAGTTGTAGGAACTGAGCTTGGAAAAGTCTGGCGTCTTTTTACAATCGCTCGCTTAACTAGCATGCATTTAAAATCTGAATTAGTATTGATAACTTTCATAAACATCCCTGCTTCTGAATTAGTATTCATAACGTTCATAAATATCCCTCGAACATGACTTTCTGTGATAAATTCTGATCTTCAATGTGAGTTACAAGCGTGCACATGTGACCTAAATACTGGAAATATTACTTGAACTCTGTCACTTTATATGAGTTCAAACTTGAGTACAGGATGAAACCTGAAATTGGTACAAAATATTAATTTTAAAATGACAAACGACAGTTGAGATCTAGGTCGAGATTTTAAGATTTGGAGACTGGCTCTTCCGTGAATTTCGAACTTAGGATGTGTTATCCAACCATTTTAAATTAAAGGGTTTTTCTTATAAATTTGGACGAAGTTGAAGATTTGAAATTTCGAGCAAGATTTGAGAATTGATTTTCCTTGGCCATTTGCATAAATATGGCGGTAGTTCGCTTTGAGTTCGCCTTTCCGTTCACAATGCGCGCGGATTAGGTTGGATCGATCTCAGACTACCTCCAGAAATGGACTCGTTTAGATCGATCTCACTTCGAATTCTTGCATTCACATTGAGATCGCTTTGCCATGGATCGGTTTGAGATCGACCTAACTCGTTAGTGTGAACAAAGTCTAAGACTCCCTAGACCGCCCCCTCCCAACAGCCGCCTACTTTATCAAAACAGACACCTACTCTGAATAATTCTGAAAGCCCTGCCTATGTCTCTCTTTTCCGCAGAGGTTTCACTTTCAGTGTCCGCCTGCGCGTCTTCCACACAGCGGTTCGACACAGTAAGCGCCATGTAAAGCGCCATGTACAGACAAACATGCACCACTTCAGCAAAAGAAGATAAGATCGAAAAAGTCCCTTGGATTACAAGTGATATAAAGAAACTTATATGAATGCAAGGGACAAATTTAAACGAAAAGCCGTTTTGACAAACCATGAGAATGATTGGTTAAACTTTAAAACAGCTAGAAATAAAGTATAGAACTAAGAAGTGCCAAAAAAGATTATTATTCCTCGAAAATAGCTGGTCAAAAAATTAATCCCAAGAAAGCTTGGAAAAGTATAAACAACCTGTAGGTAGGCAAAACAAACCAACAGTGGTAAATGAACTAAATGTAGGTGAACAAAATTTGACAAGTCCTGAAGATATTGCGGAGGGCTTTGATGAATATTTTTCAAATATTGGCCCAGATCTAGCTAGCAAAATAGATTATTCAAATTCCAATTTTGAAACGTATGTCAAAATTGCTCAATCAGAATTTGCTGCTTTCCAACCTGTTACTGTCAGTCATGTCTCTCATCTTTTGCATGGACTTTCCAACAATAAAGCCACTGGCATCGATAAAATCTCTTCCAAAATTATTAAATTAGCTACACCTGTCATCTCAGATTCACTGACACTTATTTCAATCAGGCTATTACTTTATCTTCTTTTCCTAATGAATGGAAGGTTGCTAGAGTGATGCCTCTATATAAAAATGGCCAGCGTAGTATTCCTGGAAACTACAGACCAATATCAGTTTTACCGGCCATTAGTAAAATTATGGAACGGATGTTGTATGATCAATTGTATAACTATTTAACAAAATTTGAGCTTCTCAGTGATTCCCAGTTTGGATTTCGAAAATTTCACTCTACAGCTAGTGCATTACTAGACTGTACTAATGATTGGTATGTAAATCTAGACAGAAAAATGTTTAACCTAGTAGCTTTAATTGATTTGAAGAAAACCTTTGATACTGTTGATCATCAAATTCTGTTGAACAAATTAGAGCTCTATGGAATAAAAGGACAAGCTCTAACTTTGCTCAAATCTCACAAACCGAAACCAGAAGTGCCAAATAAAAAAATCATTTTCATCTGAGCGCTTGATAAAATGTGGTGTACCACAAGGCTCTATATTAGGGCCATTATTCTTTTTATTGTACATCAATGATTTGCCACATTGTCTAAACAAAACAAAACCGCGGTTTTTTGCTGATGACACAAATTTGACTGCTTCAGCAAATTCTATGACTGACCTAGAGACTGCAGTAAATTCTGATTTAGAGAATCTTAGAAAATGGTTAATAGCCAATAAACTTAGCCTCAATGTAGCTAAGACAGAGTTTATGTTGATTGGCTCTAAACCTATGATCAAAAATATTTCTGATTCCTGTCCAAATGTTTCCAAATGTTTACATTCCTGTCCAAATGTTTACATTGAAAATATACAAATTAAACAAGTTCATGAATGCAAAACTCTAGGAGTAACAATTGACCAGCATTTATCTTGGAAAAGTAATACCGAAAAAAGAAATATTTGCAAAAAAGTTTATACAGCAGGAATCTCTGCTATTCGTCGGATCAAACCATTTGTTGATCAAGATACACTTATTTTGATATATAACACTATTGCATGTTCGTCCGTACTTTGACTACTGCTGTGAAGTATGGGATGTATTTGGTGAAACTCAATCAAAACCACTGCAAAAACTGCAAAATAGAGCGGCAAGAATTATTCTGAATATAAGCAATGACGTACAGTAGATTATACGATTGCTTTACGTACTTTGGGCTCGGAGCCACTCCAAACTGAAAGGAAGAAAACTAAAGCAAGAATGATGTATAAGTTATTAAACAAAATGGGCCCAAAATCACTCACAAATCTATTTTCGTTTAAGAGTGAGAAAACTAATTACCACCTTCGGGATGTCTCAAGTGGTCTTCATTTACCAAAACCATGTACAAATAGCATGAAAAATAGTTTTATGTACGACGGAGCAAACATTTGGAATTCTATACCAAAAGAAATTAGGGAAAGCAAGTCACTTTCTTCCTTTCGAAATAAAATCGCTGCTCACATTAGTGCTTAATTGGTAACCTTTGTAAATATAATTTACCTGTAAATAACTCAAAACATTTGTTATATCTTTTAAATTTATATATTATTGTAAATAGCTTATCATTATCATATTCTGCATGTAAAATAATTTTCTGGCACGCGCCCCC